CAATTTCCATCCAATAATTTTGAGGTCTAATTTTAATTTATTTATAGATTTGTCACGCATTTAGTAGTTTTAACAGTATCGTTATATGGGGAGTTGGTAGGATTATCATCCGATTTCATCCATTTTTACAGTGTCAATAGTGCTGCTTAAGCGATTTATACTGATAAAGTTTGGTTATTATGCTTAAACATGAAACCTCTTAGAGGGCGGGGCCACGCCCATTTTTTACTAAATTTTTGGCCCACATGTTGCCCCTGCTACTGCGATCCCCTCTACTGAATCGAAGTTGTATTTCTTAATTTAGTGCTTAGTTATGGCACTCTATAAGTTTTAGATTAATGGGGTTTGTGGCCGTGGCAGTGGTCCGATTACGACCATCCACAAATTCGCGAACCAAGTTTCATTGCGATAACTCAATTTTTACTGAACTTACAGTTTGCACAGACAGACAGACGAACGGACGGACAGACAGTTACTCGGAATTCAACTCGTCTTGTCATCCTGATCATTTATATTTTTATAACCCTATATTTGTCTTGATTAGTTTTAGGTGTTACAAACAACCGTTAGATGAACAAAACCTATTATACTCTGTAGCAACATGTTGCGAGAGTATAAATCTATATATCTAGGTTAAAGATATATATTTGTATTCTTCTATTCTATTTAAAAGTACGATAGTCCTTAGTTTATGAGGTATGAAACCTGATACACAAAAATAATTTGATAAGAGCAACAGGTGTTCATCAATCATAAGAAGATATTTGATAAGGAAAATCATGGCGATCGGATGGTTATAACATCTGACACAAATGCCATACAGATTATTAAAGTGTCCTTTTTATTAAGGTTTAGAATCTTCTTTTCTAAGAATTTTACGTAGAATCCAAATTTCCTAGGAACGCTGAATTTAGATGCGACATACGTATGGTATGTACATATGTATATTTAGAAGAAATATTTAAAAACAAACTCTGTAATTATTTTAAAAGCTTAATGAACAGCTTATTTTCATAGTGCTTAAATTCAATGGGGTATAGTTCAATGTTATATTTTGAAAATATAAAACTGTTTCTTTTGTTATATTTTGAAAGGTCAAAATCTTAGACTATATTTCCATCAAATTAAGCAGGAGCTCCTTCGATTTTAAAATATTTTGCAAAAAGTGCTTCGATTAAGAACCTTACACAGAAAAGATTTAACTATCACTACGACATTTAAATATCATGTTAATTGATTTGTTGTATATAACTTCTGTTCTTGGCAGTAAATCTTCTTTTACTTTATTATTACACGAAAGTTATTCGCGACCTATTATTTCCACACCTCAAAATCAATTTAAGTGCTAAATGGGCCAACAAGATTCTTTAACAAACCATAGCTCCTGATACAATATTGCAGCAACAGTACATTCTACCAATGGAAGGAAATGGGAGGGATGGTGAAACAAATACACCAAAGTTATGTTCTCAAAATGAACTCAGTGCTTTAATACGTGATCAAGTTAAGAATGATTAACCAATTTGTCAAAGAATTGGACGTGGAAATAATTGTTTTAATTACAGTTGTAGAAAATTTCCGAAGCTTGGTATTGAAAGTTTGAAAGGTTTAATATTTGATGTTTCTCAAATTAATACTATTATAGAATTGTCTTTAAAGAAATTAATGAAACATGTGGGGACTTTTCGTTGGCTTATAATTTAAGGAAATATAGACCTTACTGTTCTGATTACAAAAATGACATTAATAGTAGCACTCCATTGCATAAAGTCATTTTTAAATTATTTTGATTGATTGTGAGAATTTAATTATTTTGTTAATATATTGAATATTTCGGATAAAGTCCGATTAACAATTAAATATTATTGCAATAATGTACAATGTGAGCAAAACAAATAACCTTAATTCTAACTAAGTAATTCTGTATTCCTCCATTTACAACACATAAAAAATTAACTGAAGAATCAATTTACCAATTTGTTCAATCGGATTTATGATACAGTAGCACTCTAATATATGAGTATTTTAATGGAAATTCGTAATTAACTTAAGAATTACATATGTTTTACAAAAGTTAGGAAGCTCTAAGTTCGCGTGTAACCAAACATTTTATACTTTCTCATTTTGCAGAGATCAAAGCCGGACAAATACCTTCAGATGTTGGCAAAATATATAATAATTATATTAAACAAGAATAGAAGGGTTGAGTTCGGGTGTAGCCGAATATTTCACACTCTTACAACTTGCAAGGATCAAAGGCGGGGAAATAGCTTCAGTTGTTGGCAAATCTTTATTTTAAAAAATGTTGCCAAAGAATTCAACATTCTTTGTTGAACGAAATCATGAATGGATTACAATCAAATTTGCATGTTATTAACTTATATCATACATCATAGACTCAATTAGCAATATTAATATATTTCACTTCTCGTCATCGAAAATTATATCAAAATCATCTTCAAATAAGATATGCCGGACATAAACTCAACCAAAAAGGCTAAATTTAATATATTGAGTTAATGTGAACAACGTCAACCAAAAGATCGGAATTTATTATATTAGGGGTATGAGGTTTAGACTAAGATAAATTCCAATTATATTGAGCGCTAATCAATTAATATAATTTTATAACTTTTAAGAAAACTTCTTCAATTATTTGCATTGAAATATCACACATTTTGATCAACCTAAACGGTTTAAAGTCAAGGCGAAAGTCGAAAATCATTATATAGGGTATATTGGGGAAGATGGAAGGGCTGATTGCATTAATTTTTGACATTGCTCAGGTATACTCGACAGCATATTTTCAGGCAATTTTATAATATATGGAAATTGGTCTACAAACAATATCACTTATTTTCGGCATTAAACTATAGCATACCATATTATACGCCCAGTTAATTTTGCTACGATATCTTACATGTTGACTGTTATATACGGTATAAAGGCAACGGAAAGTTTGAAAATCTTTTATTGGGTATATGGGAAATAAGGATAGTATTAACCTGATTTTATCTAATTTTGCCAACTACCTCACATACCATTACCAATATACCATATATGGAGTAATGTCAGCCGGATGTTTTAAAATCGTAAGTATCAGTTATATTGGGGCTATGGCAAGTTTTCTTTAGATTTTATCCATTTTATTTCATTAAAATAACTCACTTATTGGCCAATATATGTGGTACAAAGTCAACTGGAAGTTCGAAAATTTTTATTTTAGGAATATGTATTTTAATCAAGACAACATTCTCCCCGAATTTCCATAATATTATATATCTCACAGATTAACAGATATTTGCAGCAAAAAGTCTGCCATATGCCCTGCGGTCCACATATTCGGTATATGGGGTCTGGAACAGTTTAGGTTCGATTTGGACAATTTTTAGACTCGAGATGGCATACCTTAAATACCTATTTGTGCAAAGTTATATTCCTATATATTCATTAGATTGGATTCATTTGTATACTGGAACCATGGAATACTTGTATGGTTGTGTTATATAGGAGGTAGGTGTGGTTGTAATCCTTTTTTGCAATGTAACATAAAAAAATCAGAATAAAGTTAAAATAAGTAATTCCGGAAATATGGCACATCACCTAAAAGTGAACGGTGGCACCCTCATTGTCAAATTTTTATATCGATGCACCTCATTTGTACTAGTTATAACTTAATCACATTTTTTGCGTGCCAAGGAATAACCCTATATCAATCACGATTGGTTTTACGTGATACAAACAATTGTACGGTGAACAAGACTATTATACTCTGTAGCAAGATGTTACGAGAGTATAATATGAGTACATCTATTTTTACATCACAATACTCTTCTTCTGATGGATCAGGTCATTCAAAAGTGGTTATATAAATTAATGAGATAAACATTGTATATTAGTAAAGTGTTTAGTGATACTTTAGTTTTTAAATTCGGCTAAGTTAACGGACTTTCAGCGTTCACGAACAACTCTAATAGTGAGCTTTTGAGTTAACTTATCAGGGAGTATTCTTTTTTTAAACCAAAAGTTTATTTGCCGCCAAATACAAGTGCGTGCTCCTCTTTGTTTACGGGTATTCTCGGAATTTCTATTTATTTTATGTGAGTCTGGTTAGTTTTGTTTTGTGTGTCGGAGGAATGCTTGGCCTGGCTCTGGCACAATAAAAAACGTCATTGAAGGGAGAGCACATATGATGAAACAAACAAGAAAACATTACATAAACCGATGTAATTGTGCATCGACTTGCCCGATTTTAAAATTCGAAATCACCAGAATGCATCCTCAATCAAATAATTTATTTAGCAAGATATTCAACAAGCGAAAGAGGGTTTCTCGGAAGCAGTCGAACGTATCAACACCTTGATAAAGTAGTATAAAAATAATGAAGATGCAAATCGGGTGGCAGATAACTCAATATGTATTCATCCAAAAAATAATAATTAAGAGTAACTGTGAACCAAACAAATTTAAACCAAATTACTGTTTCGTAATGTAACTATATCATAGAAATACATTTAGCGTATTATTTCCAAAAACTTATGTTTAATATTTATATATTATAATATTTATAATTTATTCAATTTTAAACACCTTTTGCAAAAGATAATAATTCGAAAAAGGCAAATATGTACTTGGAATATTTTGGTAAACTTTATATATATTATTATATAATATTATCCTAAGCATTACTCCAAATTTTAAACAATACTACATACATACATAGTTGTATGTAAGTAACAATTATCGCTTTCTGTTATCTCCGGCATAAATTATTTAGTTTCTTCATTTCTTTGACGCTGGCGAAATTAAATTTACCCATAAATATTTATTTATTAAAGATTATGAGTGCCCAATGCTGATTTCGCCTTTTCGGAGAATTATATTTATACACATAACTTAAAGAAACATATCAAACATTTGTCTCCATATTGGAAATGTTTTACGAAATTTATCCACTAAAATGTACAATAATTGTGCAATTAGCAAACATAGTTACTTACATTCTGACGAGCTGACCAAGAATTGCATAAAAGGGAAGCGTCTTCTAAAATACGGGTCTGAAAATATGTACAAGCAATATTGATAATATTATATAGAGAAAAAGATATAAATGTATGAGAAAAATATGATGATATGGGAAAATTTTTTTAGGTATTCAAAAATGAGCAACAAACCTCAATACTTTTACTAAAATCAAACCTGTTTTATTGATTACCCACTCAATATATAATATAACATGTTTCCAAAGGCTGGAACATCGAAGCACCTGCATATAAAGACAATAAATTTCTGCCGTGGGCATCAGTGCTGGAATCAAACTTGCAAATAATTACAAAATACAATCAGGTAACTGTCCTATTTAAGTATTCTATAGAGTTACGACGTATATATCAAAATGACTAGGATGAAGCGACGAGTTTAGGGCCGTCCGTCTGTCTTCGCAAGCGAAGCTTAAAAATCAAGATGTCTGAATGAAATCAGGTGTTCGTTTGCACTCTGGGGTGATTGACATTGCCCTGCCACGCCCATAAAATTTCGTTAATCGAAAAAATATAAAGTGTTACAAAGAAGTCATAAATTAAGCTACAAATGTGAAATTTTGTGCCGAAGAACAAAGTGGAAAAAGGCATTTACGATTATATTTATGTAGAAAGGGAGTCAATCCGCCCCCAATGGGTTTTATAAATATCTCATGAAATACTAATGGTATATCAACAAAACCTGCTGAAAACCTTTCCCTCTACCATTTCGTTGTACACTGTAAAAAAGTGAAATCGCATTTTAACTCTACTTAAAAACAAATGTTGAAAACTACTACATGGGAGTTAACTCGTCACAGAAGAACGGCTAAGGTATTAGAATTTTACGAAAGTGTGCACGATAGGATTGAATGTGACTCAGTGTGAAAATTAGATAATGGGCGTAATCCCGCCCACTTTTAAGAAATATTCTGCAAAACTAAGACTGATAAAGTAGAGATTATGCCAAGTATTTGCCGTTACTTTTATCGGTTTCGGCTGAGCCAAATGTTACAAATTGTACTTTCCAAATTCATGCCACGTCATTCTTCTAGAATGAGAAGAGGCAACATAGAAAAACTCTGAAATAGTTTGTCAATTGTAAACAAAAACATAATCCCTTTTGTTAATTCGTTCAATATAATTAATTTATTATTTTAATGGTGAAAAAGTTTAGTGGAACGGATAGAATAATGTGGGGGGAAAATATTTGAGTTATATTTAAATAAAAACTTTCCTTGAAGTTTCCTTTAATAAATGGACTGTTTAGTTGTCTTGTTGGAACCAAAATCGTCCACATCAACATCTTCCAATTAAGCAGAAAATATTCATTAATTATGGTTCTATATCGTTCCGCATTGACTGTAATATTATGGCTGGCTTCATTTTTAAATAAATATGGACCAATGATTCCCTCTACCCATAGAGCACACCAAACAGCGACTTTTTGAGGATTATCAACAATGCCTATGGATTCTCATCACTCCAAATTCGACAATTTTGTTTATTAACGTACCCATTCAACCAAAATTGAGCTTTATTGCTGAACAAAGTTTTCTAGTGAAACTCGGACTTCCGCATAATCTTACATAAAGTGGATGGGATAAACTCAAATTGTTGCGCGCGATAGTGGATTTACTCATTCAGGTCTTCTTTGTTAACTCCGATGTGGCATGCCGAAATAAAGCGGCAACTTTACATCAAATTCTCATTAAAATTAGAAAATTATATTAATTAGTCCTTCAGTTTTTGAGATATCGTTTGCTACATCTTCCTTTTCTCATTAACAAGCCGCTCATTTGTCGGAACCGGATATCGGACCACTATAGCGTATAGCTGCCATACAAACTAAACAATCATAATCAAGTTCTTGTATGAAAAACTTTTTTATTTGTGAACGGTATTCCAGCTTCAGGGCAACCGAATTTTACAAATTATACTCATGAAATTGGGCATGTAATATTCCCATAGTCAATGCTATAATCTACGACGAAGTTTTTGAGACTACTAAACTATAAAAATCGTGTCCTTGTATGGAAAACTTTTATATTTTACAATATTTCTTCATATTATACCAAACAACGTTACAATCTCCAAAAAAAACTTTATCATAGGCTGCCATACGATCTGACCAATCAAAATCAAGTTCTTGCAAGGAATCTTTTTTATTTATGTATACTCTAGCTTCAGTGCAACCGACATTAACGCTATTTTCTTAATTTTTAATTTCTTTTGCCAAAGACAATGAGAAGAATGAATCAATCACCGAAATTAAAAAATACTGCCATTCGATAGCTTTACGAACCGAAAAAAGCCTTTTAAAATATATATTATATATTTATGCAAATTGTGCGAGTATTCTTTAAAGAGAGTTGATAATGAACTAATCTTCAATGCAGGGAGAGCATTACTAATAATAGCATAGGAATTATAAATTAGGATAGCATACTAATTTATCCCAGACAAATACATTAAGGACATAATTGGAAATTGATTAGTTGTAAAATTATAGAACTATTTTAAAATTAATTAGGGCAGGTGAATTTACCATGGTATAAAGGAGTAGCGAAAGTGACCATTCACAGCACAATCCCACCTCCAGAGAATTCGTTCACAATAAGACCAACATGGCCGCCTCTGGTGATCAGGGTGGCGAGTGGTCAGAACGGGTTGCGCAAAACAAAAAAAGCTGTAACTTTATAACTATTTTAAATTTTGGTTATAGAATGATGTTTCTGTTAAAAAAAAATTAACTCATACCGTCTTGTTATAAATAGATCGCAGTATACCTTTTAGCGTTTTGTGGACCGGTAGAAATAACTATTGTAACATAATTTTTTATTATAAGTCATAATAATTTACTTGAACCAATAGAGACAATATTTTCTGTAATTTAGGTATACGTTTTTTAATCGCAAATTTTTTTAACGATTTATATTTCAGCATTCAGCGATTAAAATATGTGCAATATTTCTTTGTATAGTATAAAATTTGCTTTCGCAACCCTGTTACGCCCAGTTCAATAGAAATACTGGCAATATATTTGAATATTTTTAAAATGATGTCCATTCGGGTTTAGAGCTTTACTATTATCAAAATTACCCAATATTAACTTTTGCCATCTTTCAGGCAGCATCATAATCCTACGTTCATAAAACTTCTGGTTTTTATTAGCAAGAAACTGAATCAGGTACGATTTGTCATCATCATCATTATTGAAATGTTTATCATTCAAGGAGTTTTTTAAAGATCGAAACAAAAAGTAATCCGATGGTGCTAGGTCAGGACTATATGGTGGATGTGGCAAAATATCTCAACCAGGCTCCAATAATTTTTGCCGTGTGAGCAAAGATGTGTGTGGTCTTGCATTGTCATGGTGGAATACAACATCTTTTCGATTTATCAATTCGGGCCGCTTTTCTTCAACATAGCATAGTTTAATTTCGTTAGTTGTAGACAGCAGAATTGATCATTCGGTTGGGTGGTAAGAGTTCAAAGTAGACAATTCCTTTATAATCCCACACAACTGATAACAAAACCTTCTTTTGATGAATAGCAGCTTTTGATGTTGTTTGAGCTGGTTCACCTGGCCTGCTCCACGATCTTTTCCGCTCGATATTTTTGTAAACAACCCATTTTTCATCCCCAGTTATCATTCGTTTTAAAAATGGATAATTTTCATTACGTTTATTTACGTAATGATACCTGAAGCTTCTCTGCAATCTCACGTGTTGTAATGTGACGATCCGAATCGATTATTGCTTTGATTAGGTCGTCATCAACTTCAACTGGACGACCAGAGCATTTTTCATCTTTGACTGAAAAATCACCAGAAAGAAATTAGGCAAACCAATTTTGACACTGCCATTCTTTTATGGCTTCATCGCCATAAACAGCACATAACTTTTTGTAAGCTTGCGATGCGTTTTTCCCTTTGCGAAAATAAAAAAGCAAAATATGACGAAAATGTTCCTTTTGAACTTCCATTTTTCAACGAACGCCAAATGAAAACTACGCAGCCAATCAAAAATTTTTTTTACTGATTGACAGCTGAATTGCCAACTATCAAATAAAAAAATGCGTTTTACATTTGGACTACGCCAGCAAACCTAAAAATTCCATCTATGAGTGAAATCCGCAATTACTTAGTTGCCAACTTCTAAACAGTTTCGTAGAATATGCATTTTCTGGGTCCTGTTTCTGACATGGTTGCTTAATTGCACTTAACATTTTTCAGTGGTGAATATTTAGTAATTTACCATAGTTCAAAAGAGGCATATATGCATGTATATAAAACATAATTATTTTAATAATTGCTAATAATACCCGCTCCTTTAAGAAAATATGTTAAAATAAACAGATTTTATTTTGAAAACATATAAAAGTTTTACATATAACCTATATTTTTGGTGCAACTTCTCCATAAATTTTAAGAAAATAACAATATGCAGCCATTTTCCGGTCAAAAGTCAAAAAAGTTGGATATCAATAGAAACTCAACCCCAGACTAAGAATCTAAAAAAAGGATCAATCTATAAAAAATTTCGGATGTGCTTTTAGTCACCTGTTCCTTTGCGACTAGGGTAACACTATCTCCATGTATAACTTTTATTTTTTTTGAATCCCCTAAATATTCTCAACATTGGACAGAACGAGTGAAACAAAGTCAAAGTTTTTGGACATAATTTTGTTCTTTACTAAGATCATTATATTTGAAAGAAAAAATTAGCAAACACAAGAGGGTCATGAATAAGTAATGATATTCAACAAAAAAAGTTGAAAAAATAGAAAAAAAAGAAATAACTTATTATCATCAATGAAAATTAAAACTAACCAATAAGGAAGGGCTAAGTTCGGGTGTAATTCTTCCTTTTATTCTCCTGCAACTAGGCGGCGCCACGCCCATCGTTTAATTTTGACACTGGCTCCTTTAAAGCCTTCTTGTACCATCCTGTATGTGTATGTAATATTTAAGGTCTCTGACGCATTTTGTTATTGATTTATCGCTCTTTAAGTAAATTTTAACAAAACCCTTATATGGGGTGTGGGCAGGATTATCGTCTGATATCACCTATTTTCCCATTATCGCAAGAACTGTTGATAGGATTTGTCCTGTGCAAATTTGGCTGAAATAGCTTCATTTGCTTGGTAGATGTATACAATAAACATATTACAGGTTGGGGCCACGCCCATTTTTTTTTTAAATTTCAGCCCACATGTGTCCGCTACTTCTGCGATCCCCTGAACAAAATAACCATTTTGTATCTAAATTTAAGAATTCGTTATATTTTATAGGTTTTCGATTTACGGCGTTTTGTGGACATGGCAGTGGTCTAATTACGCCCATCTACGAACTCGTCATTAGACCAAGGAAAGCGTGTACAAGGTTCCATGACGATACCTCAATTTTTACTCAAGTTACAGCTAGCACGGACGGACAGACGGACGAATTGACAGACAGACAGTCACTCGGAATTCAATTTGTCTCGTCATCCTGATCATTTATATATATATAACCCTATATATATCTCGATCAGCTTTAGGTGATACAGAAAAAAACATGTTGCAAGAGTATAAAAAGCAACTAACCGAACAAATTTTGCACAAACAAACCACTACGCGTTGGTGAACACTTTCTTTCTTTGATTAAACACGTTCAAACAATTGGACTTTCCATGCCAATAACAAAGCTGCTAAAATTGTTCTTATACCATACATATGTTTACATGCAACGAGTTAAAGTTCAGATATACTAGCTGCCTTCAATACTAGACTAAGGCAGAAGCCTTTGATAATGATAAAAAAAAAGAAGAAATTCATAGTAGGTTTGAACCCCTTTGGAAAGGAAAGTTAAAATAGCAAACATTATAGGAAAATTAATTTACGGGCGATCTGTGGTCGGGAAAAGGAAGGGGAGGACATGGTTGAATTACGAAACGTTATTTGGCAATATTGTAGGTAATGAAAAGATCTATAACTTTCGTATTTAGACGTTTTTCACATAACCTGAAAGTGTATGTGAATGCTGATAGGCTATTCAGCTATTCTATGCACTCCTGCGCCAACACTTTTCCAAGTAACTTTTAATTATATACTACATCTATAGTGAAAATTGTAAAATTTTATTAATTCTGACTATTTCTTGAAAAATGTTTCGAAATTATTCACAACGAAAAGAAAATACGAGATGAAAAATGGAGACTTCTTTTTACAACTTTTTTTCAGACATCTTCGCAATTAAAAGCAAAGTGAACTAAATCTTTAGGAGATATTTATAATATTCGAACTATAAAATAATAAATAGGTATATATATCTTTATGTTGAGGAATTGTCTGAATGTGACATTTCCGAGATAATTAGATTACCAAAAATTGCTGCTAGAGTGACTATTTTATTTCCATAAAGTTCTATTAGTTGGCCTTGAGGAATTTCGTTCAAGCTGAAAAAGCTGAGAATTATATAAAACTGTTTAAAAGCTAACGGTTTTTTAGTGAACCTTAGTTTATGTGCTGATTTAGCAATTGAGTAAGTGTACTTATACTCTTGTTATCAAATCACCTTTCAGACTAATTTCCAAATCACTTATGTACGTATGTTCGTACACGAAGTTGCACTTTACTTGTTTTTATTTGCGATATCTTTATTTTATGTGCGATATCCAAATACCATAATTCAAGTTTAATTTAACTATTTTAGATAATTTGAAAACGAATTTCAATTTTTATAGGCCATTACAAGGCCTGAACACTGAACAACTTAAAATTAGGTTTGTTATTGCAATATAAAGATTATTCCTATTATCGAAATTACAATGCCGAAGAGTTTTATAAGTTTTTAATAAAAAGTAACCACAATAAGCTAAAATATAAAAATAAGTAAAAGTAAGTTATCAAAGAAAGAAGGCGAGGTTATTTCAAAACTCACTCCAAAACTTAAATATATTTTTACTAATATTTTACAAACTTTTCTTTTCCTTAGTTGCAAGGCATCAAAAGCAATTAAAAGTCTTTTAATTCATTTTCCCTAAAAAAAACTCTGTAAAAATATTTTTTTTGAGCTTTTAGAATTTCTTCCGACTATTGTTCATTTAGTAGCCATATCTCATATTGTATTTTAATATCCGTGCATATTACTTTGTAAAAATTCTACAAGAAATGTTTTACTGAATAAAAAATATGACTACATGTCCGTTGCTGTAAAGAAAATTATAGATTACAATGTCTATAGAGCAGAAACCATTTTTGCTTTACGTTCACAAATTTAAGTATACACATAAAAGTCCAAAACTTTTACATAAAAACTTTTGCCCAAAAAAACTTATATACATAAAGGTATTAAAAAAATTCGACCACCTTTTCTTATTTAATTATCTGAACAAAAATTGGGAATATCGCGAAGATGGAAGTTGGCGTTTGTTGCACGATAATGCGCTGTCTCATCGATCAACGCTTGTGGCCGATTATTTGACCAAAAATCACATTTTAACAATCAACCACTCCCCGTATTCACCTGATATGGCACCGTGCGACTTCTACCTTTTCGGAAAAATGCATTTGCCGATTAAGGGAAGCGTTATGCAGACGTGGAGGCCATTCAAAAGGCTTGCACCGGCATACTGGCGGCCATACCGTGCAACGAGCTAAAACACTCGTTCGACATGCTTTTGGACCGTGCAAAAAGCTGTACTAAAGCAGACGGAGACTATTTTAAATAAAATTAATTGATTTTGCCGATAAAACCATTTGTTCTATATTGTTTTTAAACTCCTGCTTACTTTGGAACGCCCCGTGTATGTGTATTGTAAAGTTTTACCCATTAAAAATTAGAATGCATAAACACATTAAAAAACAGTTTTTCATCTCTGCGGTTACACTAAGACTTTCAGCGTCTATGACGGATCATTTTTTGGCCGACTTTGAAGATATAGCTATGTATACAAGTATAATAGATAATTTTATAAAAATGTGTTTTTCATTAGTTTAAAAAACTCCATTTTGATTCAACAACCCATGTTGGCTTACCTTTTTGTGTAAATAAACATATATGTATATGTATTTATTTATTTATTTTATTTATTTATTAAAGAAAATACAATTATAAATAAATATACTACCTATAAAATATAACAGCACTAGCGGCAAGGCCTTCAGCTGATGTATATGTGTATAAAACTTTATCGATATAAGAATATTTATATTTAGGCAATTCACAAGCTTCGTCTTATGTCGTATTTCAATAGCTTAAAAAATACGACACTTGTGAGCACCCCTTAATTGTTGTATGTCATATTATGTAATATTTCTACACTTCACCAGCTGGTAATGAAAAATTAAGAATACAAAAATGCCACAGGAAAGTAATAAAAATAAAATTCTTAATATTGAAACAGCGGCATTTTGATTCACATTGCAACCACATAAACAACAAAATATTTTTATATATTACTTTTCTTCAACTTAATTTACCTGAATATCGTGGCTTCCTTCCATATTATTAAAGAAATTGATGAAATTTATTTAATTTATTAATTTTAGACACTTAAACGTCAACAAAAAAAAAGTAAACAGATATGCTGATAGAGTAGCACACTCAAAAAACATACCTCGCCGTGTTGTATTTGTCGTATTTCAATATTGTATGGGAAACAACAACAGTGTTGATATGACAGTCATAAAAAAATAAGACAATACGACGATATGACACAATATGACACCTTGTGAATACCCTAATTATATTATAAATTTTAATTTTCTATATAAGCCGAATTGCTTGTATGTATACTAGACTGCTTTTTTTTTTAAACTATTTTTTTTTCGATCCCATGGTGAAATTTTTTTGGAAATACCAAAAAAAAAATTCCCTAAAAATTTGGGACTTTAATTTTAATATTAAGTACTAGACCTAGGCCTGAAAATATTTCCCATATAAAATACACGTAAAACTTGATTTTTTTTTCCTTTTCATTTTATAACTCAGCGGCAGTTGATGGGATTATCTCACCCGTCATTAGGTATTCCTCAGAATTGAACGCTCTACAAAGTCTCCATTGCGTAAGTTAAAACTTGCACCTGCAGGGTACGCCCCAAACCTAATTTTCCATGAAATTCGCGTTTTTTTGGAATTATCTCGTAAACAACACTAGCTACAGAAAATTGTTCCTACAAAAAAGTCTTTGGCACCAAATCGATAATATTAATACTCTTTGAGATACAGAGATTTTAAGTTGAAGTGGTACTTAATATTAAAATTAAAGTCCCAAATTTTTAGGGAATTTTTGTATTTCCAAAAATTTCACCATGGGATCGAAAAATAGTTCAAAAAGCAGTCTAATGTATACACCACATCGAATATCTTGATATTTAAATTATCCTTTGTTTTGACTTCTTTAACTTTCAAAGATACCAATTTCCCACTAATTTAGAGTTACACACTTTTATTCACAGAAGGATTCGGCATACATCTCCTCAGATCCGGACCTCTGTAATCGGGCTTATCGACCAGGAAAGCAGGTAGAGAGCGATTTTCATTTTATCCGTCGTTGAATACATCGACATTGTTACCTCCCTACAAAATCCTCCTCGAGCTTAAACGCCCGAGAGGCGTCAAAAGTCGTCGCAGATAAATTTGAGCACTGGTTTTGAATCTATTTATATCCCGCATATAAATATGCAGGACAAGATATTAGCGAATAGAAATTTGAGGAACTTGTTATAATTTTCTTTCTTAAAACTTTAAATACTATTTTCTTAATAAAGATGGAACATATTATTTATCATTCGATTTTCTTTCTCACACCGTTGACTCGTAAACGGCACCTTTCACATGTATGTTTGTATGTATATGCATATTAGCACCGATCCAAAACTAACTGAATTACAAATGAATTATGAAACGACTAATATAAAAACGCACATATATATCTAAAGTACTTATTCACAAGAATTCACGATTGTTTAAACTAAACGGACCCGAACAGATTTTACAACTAGACAACCGTATGATAAGAATTCTATGATGGATTTCACTAACTCCAGTTTATTTGGGAAGGACAAATTTTCATTATTCATGTGAGGCGTGTCGTTTTCCGACCCACCCTTCAGTGTAGCTGAATTTAGATTTGAAATCCAACCATATGAATGGTTGTCATTAAATTGAGGCGACAGTAATTTTATATAATAAGTATCTACCATGCAATGTCCTTAACGCTATATATGTATATACATCTATATACTTACGAATGTATGTAAATATATATGTACTGTATAGATATATATGCTCATACTGAAACTGTATATTTGTTTGGATGCTCTCATGGATATTAAATGAAAATTCAACACATGCGCCTGACGAAGCGATTTGGGACAAAGCTATTTCTGGACAGAGACCCATATGATAAGCTTTTAGATAGCGCGTACCTAGAAGGCCGACTCCTCGAACATCAAATGGGTAGAATTTCGAAATCTACTCATACGCGTGCTTTTATACCTAATCTGCGCCATTTTAAGTGCTAAATGTAAAAAGATAAAACCAAATCTACGTGCTTCAAGACGTTTTTTTTCAACACAATCACGAATCCTTATATGTTATGAATGTATTGTTTAGCCAGGGATAAGAGATGCCCAACTTATTTCAGTGTGAGAGCTCCTCAAAATTGGCGTTTATATAACATTTGCATGTAGCCAGATCAGTCAAATAAAAAATAGCATAAATTAATTAAATTTTAAATTTAATTACATTAAAATAACAACATTTATTAAGACATACTTATAATATATTATCCATTTAACACATGGAGAAACTATTTAAATCCTTTTTCTGTATATTAAACCTACTGATTTTGAATATTCAATACTTAATCAAAGAATAAATGGTTAGCTCTCAAATATTAATGTTTTTATAGTTTTAATTGAAATTAATACTACTAAGCATGCATCATAAAGATTTCATCACATATATTCAATTTCTTTAATTTTGATTGCTTTCCAATTTTTAAGTGATCTTCAACAGCAAAAATCTCTCTGTTCACATATATTTTGGTAGGATTTCAATCTGGCCATCCTATTTTCAATTGCTAAACGTCAGACCTCCTGAAATCAGACAGTTGCCTGAGTTCGGAGGTTTCATTGTTAATATTCTATTGAGGAGATAGAGTTGGGCATTTCTTTATCTCAGGTTTTAGTTTTAGGTTAACTTTATTAAAGTGAAACTTTTATTACATCGTCTCCAACTTTTTCGTCTGTGTGTTGAATGTCGCGTGACGGTAGGCCGCAGAATAGAAGTAAAGCGAAAGGCGCTCGACAGACTATAGCAAAAGGAAAAATATAAGTAACAATAGTTTTTATATAGAACTTTTTGAACTTTTGCGTGCATGTTGTTATTTAGGGAATTTTTTTTCAATTTTGAGTGCTTGAATTTATCATTTAACTTATTTCGTATGAATAATAAATTACGTATTTTTGTATATATTCAGTCCATTCAATATATTTAATTTTATTTAACAGATGCCATGATGGGTACTAGTATCGTTCAAACTGGTAAGCCTGTATCTGCAAATATTGTTACAGCAAAATTTTAACGTCAAAAACAACGAACACTGTGAAACTCATGATGAAGATGGAATTAATAATAGAATGATTCAAAATAATTGAAAAACGGATCAAAATGACTCAACGTTATAAAATATTGTTTTCAGTTTTTTAATATGTATGTATTTAGAGCATGTAAGTATTAAGTATGTCGTAATCTAAGCCACAGTTCATTAAAAATATTAGGAGATCTAGTCTAGTTTTTTCATTTCCCATTATCATTCCCACTTTCCAAGTATAAAGTTAAGATTGATGAAGCATATTCCTTAATGGAATATTATTCCGACAATTTTTGTTAAATGTCTATAATGTGAAAAAAAGTCTAACTTCTACCGTGGTTTCATAAAACCACTCAGTCCTTTTTTTATTGTATTGTTAATATTTTTAATAAACACGTACACAGTTAAAAGAAATAGACCTTCTCTGATCGTTATTAAGATAACTTACATATTGTTAACCGCAAATTCGAATATCTTTATATTAAGTATATGGGGGCAGGGGCAGTATTGACCCAGTTAAGACACACAGGGGCATTATTATCTGCAAAATATTACCTCTGTAATAAGCACATATTGATTATTTTTTCTGTCAGGAATCAGCCACAGGCACTGGGGTCCACATATTTGGCGTCTGGAGGCTTGAGCCGATATAGTCCGATTTCGACAATTTTTAGACGTGAAATATATACCTTAAAGTTACTATTTGTGCAATGTTTTATTCCGATATATATATTATGACGAAGTATTTGGTGTTTGATTTATATAATGTAATGTGAAAGAAACATATGAAAATTAAAATTGTGATCAGTCATCGATCTCGCACCGATAAGAAGCCTTTTTTTGCGCTAACTGATTATTTTCTGATCACTTTTGTTATAAAATTCGATTCTCACCGCTCGCAAGTACTCTATTTTAGTTTTTCATTATTCGTATGTATAATTTTCACTAACATTTCAACTTTTTAAACTTGTGATGTGTGATGGTTCGGAAGCCACCAAATATCAGAGAGAATCCTTTCGCAATAATTAATATGGGACCTAAAAAGATACTCATGCTTCGCGATACATCATGCTATTAAGTAAATTAGCAGTGAAAAGCACAACATATCTACTCTTCGTGATCGAATATTACTTTTTGTGAAAAAGAGCAAAATAGCTGAAAAATTTCCTAAAAGTGAAACCAGTAGTGTGTCCCATATCAGCCACGCTACACACATCACTCAACCATGCATGAAGAAGAAGAAATCATCCAAGAATTAACCTCCCAAGCTGTGGTAGAAGTATATAAGTTAAAAAAAAAATTATGGAAAACTATTACCATCGGCAGTTGTGTTGTTCACTTTCAACCTTTACAATTTACTCAGCAAAATCGACATAGCGTGGTGTAAAGTATTAGTTCGCCAATACATGCCCCTTCCCATGCAATGTAAATCTTGCCAGATTCTTGGACATTCAAAAAATAAATGCCAACGCTGTCCTCTTTGTGAAAATGGTTCACTCCCTCCTCATTCCCCTTCTGAATGTGAACGCATATTTTGCGCCAACTGTTCCCAACCACAGCCCTCCTCATCCAGAGAATGCCAATATCAATGTAAGCTATACTACAGTCGCAACAAATAACAAAATCAATTCAACAATTAATAAAAACAACAAAATATTAGTATAAATAACTTAAAAGAACACAAAAACATTTTAAACATGGATCACTCCCACATACCCATCTCTCCTGTCAAACAATCCAACCTACGTGACTCAATCTTAATAGAATCTCATACAGCCGAATAATAAATAACAACATTTCATCAACAATAAATGCCAGCAAACTAAATAATTCTTCCGACTCTCCTGTTTTCGAAATTTCACCTGCACTCACAGATCCCAACGAAATAGAAACAAATTGTAATATAAACCCACCCCTCCAACCAAATTCACCATTTCGTCCTCACAATTTCAATCATATTACCAACCTCTCCCAACTCTTTCTCAAGTTCTCGCCTCTATTCAACAATAAAGCACATTAGAAAACGAAATGTTAGAATAACCAAACACCTTACCTATATACAACTATGCACAAGAACACATATTTTCACATTCTGCTTTTTTCTCGGTTACATCACATGGTATTAAAAATTATCTGTAGAACGTAAACGGATTGATGGATGGATGGATGATTGGAACAACTACCATGAGTTACAATTACGTATCAAAGATAATAACCCAAATTAAAAGTTAAATATGAATACATGCCCCTCAGCAAGCTTTCAACGAAACCGACCTAAGGTATATATACCAACAGCTTCTCAAACCTTTTTTGTGGGTACGAGATTTCAACGCTTAGAACCCACTTTGGAGCTCTCCCAAATCAAATTCAAGAAGCTTGATAATTGAAAATCTCATAACAAACCACCAGCGTCCATTATTTAGTAATGGCACGCCCACCCACTTTTCAACCCATTCATCTTTTACCAATGTAGACATCTCCCTTTCTTCTCCCCAATACTCTCCCAGAATCGAGTGGAGAATTTTTTGTGACCATAAAGGCAGTGACCATTTCCCATTTTCAATCAATATTAGTACCAACCTACATCCTGCAAAATATACTCACCTCCCTAAGACAGACTTAGCAAAATAGAACAAATTTCAAGCAGAAATAATAAACAATATAAAAAAACTCACCGAAAGGCACTATAAGCCAGGAATCATCTATTATTAAAAAAACTAGACGTTCTGCCGCGTACAAATCAATTTCCCAAAGAAAACAAAAATTTTCCACTACTTCCTCCATCTGGTGGAACAAGAAGCTCAAAAATCTTCGCGCCCAAAAAATTGAATGCGAGAAAACTCTAAAAAAGCTTCCCCTTCAACCCCTAAAAAAATTTGGTATGACATCAAACTTCTAACCAGTATTCCACACCTCCTTATAACAGTCATTGAATCCAGTGAAACGGTTCTAAGCGATTCCATAGATATT